GTCACATCACACCTTAACTAACCAATCATTTCATTTCACACGAACCAGACCTCTAACACCCGACTGACAACAACCTTTAATTTAATTTAGGTTCTGCAAACCTCAGTCAACACTGCCAACAAAGTCCTTTTCAGGACTATTCTCAACCCGATCCAATGTTCAAATCATTTTACTGTTCTGAAATGTTTGCTTTGAATCGTACACGACGGATAGGGTACAGCATAGATGTCTCAGACATATTTGCACAGCGATTAAGTTTCACTGAATTATGGACGCGTGTGATCAACAGATGAAAATCCCTTATTCTAAATAGTACCTCTGGAATGGCAACGTAAGAAGCGTAAGAGTAAGAGTAAGAGAAGCGTAAGAGTCGCTCTCGGCTATCGCCTCGAGCGACTCTTACGCTTCTTTCGTGCTTAGCAACCTCCCGCGTGCATCCATAACTCAATAGTGTACGCTGTGGTGTTTACCATTTGTTAAATGAGAACAACAACAACAAAAAAAATAGGAGTTAACTTATTGAGTTACCTGAACACAAGTAACAATGACATGAGGGAGCATGACAAGTGGGAATCGCATCACATTGAACAACGCCAAGGCGACGAAAGCTTTACTGGCTGTTAGGAAATTGCCAGTAAACACATAAATGGCAAATGTGGTAACTGCCACCTTTAGAAAGGAAAAAAAAAATGCACACAACAGTTTAGAAGAACATTAACTCAGCTTGACAGATCGCTAGAAGGCAATTGTCGTTAGAATTAAGTTTCATATCGCTGGGAGCGCCCGTAGGCAATATGAACCGAATCCTGTGTTCTGATAGGCTACCCAAACGAACAATACCGCTCCGGATTGCCCGATAAACGCAATAACCAGAAGAGCCAATGAAAACTCAAAGTAAAAACAAGCAAATTGCTTAAGGCGCGGGAAAATGTGGGCGACGAAATTGAGTGGTGTTATTTTGCATTTGATTGGCTGAGAGAATGGCGCGAGTTTTCTGAACCAATCACAGAGCGAAGGAAAAGCAAGGCAATGCAATCTCGGACTACTTTCAACCCTCAATCGAAAATTGCTCTTCATCGATCGCTAGCCTTCCGTTCCTTGGCTCGCTTGGTTTTTGAAAAAAAGAAAACCAGAGAAATATTGATTAACAACTTACTAGTGTCGGCGCACAGCCAAACGTAAACATAAATCCTGACATCCAGAAACTAGAACCCCTTAAGTACTTCAGCTCTTTTTTACGTTTTCTTTCCACCTCTTTCATGAAGGACTCCTCCCAAGCATACAACTTGAGGACCTGGAAACAAACAATAACTTTGATAAACACAAGTAACAAGTCCCAGGTACCTTTAGTTATCAATTGATCAATCGAAATGAACTTTTCTTTCAATTCACCCACAAATCAGACGGTGACTGTCCTATTAAATCTAGGTTTACACACCAACATCAGTATCTATATTCTGTATACTGTTCTCTATACGATTCCTGAGTTGTTGACAAAGAGAATTTGTTTGGCGATCCTTTCTTTAGTTGGTGACCATTTCCTTTATTCTCGTGAGGTAAATGTGTGGGACGAGGGGATACCGTAAGGACAAATTGGGTGTTAGTCACTCAACCATTCGTATGAAAATTAGTTTGATTTGCATGTGAATGAAAACTTATAATCATATGAAAGGATGAGCAACCAGGACTCGCTTTTTAACAGAGGCTAAAGGTAATTAAGAAATGGGCTAATATCGATCATTTTGCCTACTTCTTCTTACAAAATACAAACAGTCACCAAGAATGTGTATTTGAATGTATGATCATGCAGTGAATATCATGTCCTTCACTTTGCAGATATTTGACCTTACAAACTTACCTTTACTCCACTAAGAATTTCATTCATCAGTTTAATTCTTTCATCTTTCTCACTCATTTGTTTTGCCTAAAGTTTCATTAAAAATGGAAGGACTTCAAACACTAGAGTTGCTTGTTGTTGAGAACAACAAAATCACAAGCAAAGGTGTACAATTTCTGAAAAACTGGCATGTTAACTCACCTGAAGAGTACCCATTCTACTTCCAAAAAGCATATTTACTGGAATAATTAGCACCATGACTCCCAGTCCGGCCAGAATGGAGATTCCAAGAGTACTAAAGAGGAAGTACAGAGCGCCAGCAATCTGAAGTGGACTTGACCACAATGAGTTTATGTAAGCCATAAGCTCCATCAGGCGCTGTGCATCCACAGACATCAGGTTCACAAGCTCCCCAGCTGTTGTCTTTCCTTTTGCCTTGCTGTTCAACACTAAAGCCTATGGAATACATGCAAAAGAATATAATGTGAGTTGTACCTACTTGCCAGCTAGTGCTCAGTATTTTGTTGGTGAAAATTAAAGTTGCCATACATGATATTATTTTAGAGTAGTGGAAAGCTGGGGAAAGATGGAAATTTGTACCAAGGGGATGAGGGTTGGTCAAAAAGCAATAACTGGGAGGGGGTGTGGTTTTCTTGCACACCTCCCAG